CACTGACGTGCGGCCCTTCGGTCGAAGATGCGTTTCTCGCCTGGGTGGAGCTGAAATTGCAGCTCTTACGAGTATTCTTGCCGCCAAACCAGTCTTATCGCGTGCAAGCGCGTTTCCTTGCCACCCGTTAGGGCAACAAGGAATTGGTGGACTTTGTCCAAGAGATGCGAACTCTCATTGCTGGGATGGCAGCAGATGCCATTCCGGAGGTGGTCACACTGACCGTCTTTATGGCTCTGGCGTGGCTAGAATGGAAGTCTTCCATGTGCATCCATCCTGATTTGAAGGGGCGGTGAATGTGGCATTGAATGCCGAGTTTAATATAAGTCGGCACGAATGCACACTCCAACAGCTCGTCGAGCGGGCCTATGACCATGGATCTCAGCTATGCTGAGGACAAGGGAGCAGAACTCCGAGCTGCCGGGCAGCACACTGACACACGACGGTGTTTTGTCTGTGGAGTCCCCGTTGCCTTCGGAACGGTTGCCTCCTGCGCAAGGCGCGTCAAGGTTCTTCAGACCACCGCCCCAACGCCTACCAGTCTGGTTCGTCGCGGGGAAACGACACCCCTCAGTAGGCGCGGGACGCTCTACTGGGAGAATACTGAGGTCTGTTGAGCCTCAGGGAGGCATAAGTCACTAAACACGGAACGTGTATGCAAGCTTGTTAATCGTGGAGGCTACCGTAAAGGCTTCGAGAAGCCGTGGCAGATCTTCATCGTTTCTGGGGCGTCAGGCAATCACGCTCCCTGGGTCGTCAGGCAATCACGCTGATGGTGTATGCTGAGGCGCTGAAAGCGCGGTTGGGTGACATCGTCACTGTTCGCTTAGCGACGGGGACACGTGTCACGGTCCCGAAGGTCCCTGTGGACCTCGGAGTCTAGGTTCTTGACTTTGATAGTGTGGAAAGCTTTCTAGTTTTATACTTGGATGCAAGGTATGACCTCAGCCTAGGAATGGCATGGTTGGAGCACCATGAGACATGATTGGATTGGAGGTCAAAGACCTTGGCGCTACGCCCACGTCTACTGATGGAGCTTTGGCGAGTCATGAACCCGCCTCTGCTAGGAGACAAAAGCGCTATAAGGGAGAGCACTGGACCGAGACGGTCAACGTGCTAGACATTGTAATGTCCTAGTTGGTAGACACCAACGGTGCATTGGACAGGAGTTCCGAGCCTGGCTCGCGGGCTGATCTTGAAGTGGTACGTAACCCACTGAGCGATGCTCAAGTTTCGGAGCAGTCGCTTTATGTCGTGCGTGACATGGTCGGCCGAGGGCCGAGGCATCGAGGGCGAGGACCTCGTGATGCAAGTGAAGTGGCACGTAAACCACTGAGCGCTTCTCAACTTCAAAGCAGTCGCTGCATGTCATGCGTGACATAGTCGGCCAAGGGCCGAGGCATCGAG